TTTTTTTCAGATCAGATAACGAGATCCGTGGATAACTCGGCCCATTGACACCCCTACACCTTTCGTCTCCGCTACGGTCCACTGCTATCTTTAGTTATAGTCTTGTAGATGGAAAAAAAAAAAAAAAAAACCTCTTCATGGTCTTACACTTTCGGACAATAGTGATATGGTTTGTATGTTGAATTTGAAGTGGTAATCTTCTTTATTCCTGGGAATCATTGTCTGTTTTTGTCTCTTGTTTCCATCCTAAAATCGTACGAGTTACTTTCCACATGACCGTTAATAACGTGCACGGTACCTAATATTCCTCTATAATATACTAATGACCATGCCAAAATTTCATTGGATCCAAAGTACCTGCTCTACATTTAGAGACAAGCCATGATGCCTATATGATTTGTTAATCTTTCTCGATGTTGGCATGATAATCTACTTGTGATGAGAAAAAGATATAATTCATCCAACAAATGTCTCTCATCAAGTGTCGATTAAAACTCTATTTGGCAAATCTCTACTCAATCAATTCGTTGTGTTCAATTGAAACACAAGAAAAATAGGTACACATCCTCTTATATTAACTCAAGTATCAAAAAATTTAAAAAAATATAGTGCTTGACAATATGAATAGAGCTATGCGACTCAACATACTATCGTATGCGGTGCAAGTCTTGAAGTCTGAAATAAAAATACTTTACTTATCAAGAAAATTTAATCTACAACCAATATGCATCAGCGTTATCTCAATACTATTAAAGTCATTATATGTTTTCTTCTGCCTTATGTTTCATTTGGGGGCAGAGTTAAATCCAATATCGACTCACTCACTCTTCAATTTCTTTCCGTTTCAATCCTAAAATTAAATAGGCATAAGGTAGGATGCAGCCCCTTTTTTAAAAGCAAAAAAAAAAAAAGTGAACCCCTACCCTGAAATCCCTCCTAATTCAATCAAGACGTGGGTCCCTTCGAATCATATAAAATGTGGATTTAAGAATCTTGACTGATTAATCACAAGGTGCCAAAATCGAAACAAAATAAGTGTAACCCCCACCAGGTTAAATTGGACCCCCCAAAATCCCTCTTTGTCTGTGCTGAAAAGCACTCGTTGATTGCTCCATTATAATCAATCACCCAAACTGGTATTGTGCTTTTTAGGGGCGTGATTTTGTATTATTTACCAGAAGCCCCACCCTAATGTGGAAGAGATTGCTCTGTTCACTTTCTTTCTATGCAATGTCAAATTAACTAACTCAAATTCAATACGAGTTTATCTCAAAAGGAAGATGCTTTGTTAATCTAATGACATAGAATAATAAAATTGCTAAATAAGATCTATGTTGTATTACCCATCTCAAAATATTTAGTATTTGGATAATTTGTGTTTGATATTTAGGTTGGATTAAAACAAAAAAACTTCAACCCAAATTTGAATTCGGATAACACTAGGGTTAGGACATTGGATTATCGGGTTCAAATCCAACTTAAATTATAATTGTGATTTCAGTCAAAGCTAGACCTGAATTTTAGTTTGAGATGTATTACTGAAAATTAAATTCAAGTTCAATTCAAGCTAAACTCAAATTTTGTATGAATGAATTTGAATTCTAACTCCATTAGTATAATAATGAAATCTAAAATAAATCAAATTTCAACTTAAGCTGTGTAATTTGAGTTAAGTTTAAGTTCAAGATTTTAAACTTGGACAATATTCGTAATAGGGTTCAGGTTGAATTTAAGAGCAGAGTTCAGCCCATGATTGCTATGTATAACACACATTTTGTCCTCAAATTAATCTCAAAATCCACCCAATTTACCGGAGTCACATACGCTCCCTAATTTAGGGAATGAAATATATTTCAACATACTTTCTCTTCGAGACACATTATTTATCATGTATTTATATGAGACTCATTGTATGTAAGTGAGTCTCTCATTCATTAATAATAAATGATATACTTTAAAGAGAAAATATGCTGAAGTTGATATCTATCCTTATTTTAGATTGGCAACCTAGTGATTAATCAAACAGACACGCGACCTAAGTGAGAGTGGCCGTAATCGGATTCTAAAAGTTTGAAAAAGGGATTTCTTTCTTTCTTCTGTTACGTGGTCTCATCTCAGGCTCTCATGTTCAGGAGTACAGGCTGTACAGTGGGCTGTGGGCCCTGCTGTTTGGAGCCATGGACCCATCTGCCACAATCAGCCCAACTTCCAACAATATCCTCTACCTTTTTTACCTGGTCAGAATTTAGCCCTTCCTTCTACTAGTTGGATTACTTGCCTCAAGTTAGCCGTTAAGCTGGCAGCGATGTGATTGGCTACAATATTTTATTTTTGGTATTACTAAAAATAAATGTGATATTTTTCAAACATACCAATATCATCCTCCCATCCACGTTTCAAGGTGGGTAAATTAAAATTCGTTCAAAATAGATAATAAAAAAAAAAAAAAGGTGTTCTCAGAAACTAGAAAAGCTGATTTTTTTTAATTGGGTTTATCATATTATTATATAATGGTTCAATAAATTTAATTAATAAGTCACCAAACCACGTGGGGTTGTGTACTTGGATAAATAGTAATCCCGAATATAAGGGATTCGATTCTTACTAATATTTTATAGTTTTAATTGATACCTCGAGTTTGTACGTAATTGTAGGTATTACTACCCAAAAATAAGTGGAAAGTGGCTATGTTCCATTAAAAAATAATAATAAAAAGAGAGAGGAAAGACACATATGATGGCATACCTGTAATTTCAAATCAATTTTAGGATATAGACGACAATCAACAGTAAACCGGAAACAGACAAATTGCTCATCGGTTTTTTTATTATCTCCCCACTAGTCCGTAGTTCAGTTATCCCTTCCATTCTCCTTCATTAGCAGAAAGAATCTTGTCCTCTGCGAGACAAACTGGAACCGACCCCATCAATGTCAGAGACCTCGGCGATAAATACTCGACCACCACCACCTTCTTCAATGTTACCACTAGTAAATGCTTCTGTCTGTGACTCTGTTCTCAACTACCCCAATTTAATCCACTTTTTTTGATCCTACAACACAGATATCCAAGTATTCATAGCAACCCACTGGTACCCAACACCTTCTAAGGGTTTCTCTGTCTACAACTGTCTCTGGTTTTTCTCTCTTTCGGTTTTATCTTGTTCTCAACTTTATTGGAAAACATATAAGAAAAACATTCTCTGGGTGAGTACCATAAGTTGTTTCTTTGTGTCCCCTTGTTTTTGTTTCCTGGGATTTTGACCACATTTGCTCCAAGCATTCAATATCATCCGATAAGCACGCGTTGCTTGTCTTCCCATTTGAATTTCCTTCCCTCTCTGGCATGTTCTTGTATTTAGGCCTTTAATGGTTTTTCAATTCTGTTTTAATTGTACTGTTAAAGTTGAGTTACTAGCCTGTACTACATTTTAGGCGAAGTCAATGGAACTGCTACTTTCCTGGGGTTTTATTAAGCACTTTGAAATATAAGGGCCATTACTTGCAACTTGTAAAATGGGGAGTTCAAGCTTGTTTGCGATAGTGTTTCTTTCATGGGTTTTCTTTATCTCAAGGACAAATCAATTACAAACTTATGAATCCCAAGTTCTTCTCCAGCTGAGGAAGCATTTGGAGTTCCCTGTGCCATTGGACATATGGGAAAATTACAATGGTGATTTGTGTAACTTGGCTTCAACCCCTCATATGAGCATCACATGCCAAAACAATTCTGTCTCCGAGCTCAAAATTATGGGAGATAAGCTTGGCAAGGTTAGTGAATTTTATGGATCTGCAGTTCCCAACCAAACCTTATCCAAGAGTTTCTCCATTGATTCATTTGTCACTACCTTGACAAGGCTAACTAGCTTAAGGGTCCTTGGCTTGGTGTCTTTGGGGATTTGGGGTCCCCTTCCTGATAAAATTCATCGGCTATATTCGCTTGAAGTTTTGGATATGAGTTCAAATTTTATGTTCGGTTCTATTCCTCCTCAGATATCTAGACTAGTGAAACTTCATACTTTGATATTTGATGGGAATTTCTTCAATGACACTGTCCCTGATTGGTTGGATTCACTGACAAACCTCACTGTTTTGAGCTTGAAGAACAACCGGTTGAAGGGTCAGTTTCCTTCCTCAATATGCAGAATTATGACACTCACTGGCATTGCTTTGTCTCACAATGAGCTTTCTGGTAACTTACCTGATATGAGTACCTTATCTGGTTTACATTTGCTGGATTTAAGGGAGAACCATTTGGATTCTGAATTACCTTCCTTGCCCAAAGGATTGACTACTGGTCTTTTGAGCAAGAACTCGTTCTCAGGTAAGATTCCAGAACAATTTGGGGAATTATATCAGCTTCAGCACCTTGATCTATCAAACAATTTTCTCACTGGAACACCACCGGACGTGTTATTCTCTTTGCCAAACATCAGCTACTTAAATTTGGCATCCAATAAGCTAAGTGGGTTACTTCCTAACCATTTAAGTTGTGGGGATGAACTTGGGTTTGTTGATATTTCTTCTAACAGGTTGGTAGGTAGACTTCCTTCTTGCTTGGATACTACTTCAAATAATAGAATTGTTAAGTTTGGTGGAAATTGCTTGTCCATTGACACCCAACATCAGCATCCAGAGTCATACTGCAAAGAAGCCAATATGGAGAAGGGACGATCAAGGGGAGAAGCAATAGGGGTATTAGTTGGTGTTATTGGGGGTTCTGTAATTATTATGGTACTCTTGGCACTTGGGCTTATTATTTTGTGCAGGAGATATCGCTCACGAGGGTGCATGGAGCAGCATACATCACCAAAGATTGTGCAAGATAATTCCACTTCGGGGATTTCCTCTGAATTCCTTGCAAATGCCAGTAAGCAGTACTTGGAGTATAATGTAGTTTCTTTTCGCTATAGTTGAAATTGCACATTATGTCCTGCTCTAAAGGACACCAATTTCACATACATTCCTTCACTTTCCTATTTGCTTCAGGGATCATATCTCAAGCAGCAAAATTAGGGTCACAAGGTTCCATAGCAGGTCGAGTGTTTCCCTTGGAAGAATTAGAAGAAGCCACGAACAATTTTAATCAGTCATCATTTTTGGGTGAAGGCTCAATTGGGAAGGTACCTTTCGAAAAATCTAATAGGACTTATCGACTATTAAATCCTTTCATGATGGTGTTTCTATTGTTCTGGCACTCACAGTGACAACATGAGTGTGTTATTTATCATTATGAAAAGTTGAAAACCAACGACGAATCATAACAAAAAAAAGAGGGAACATATGATGTGTGAATGTGAGTCTCCATACATAATATTTGAGTGAACATAGTTTTGTTTCTTTTGTATTGTGGTTCTTGCTTTTATATGATATGATCAAGGACTTCTTTCTTCTGGACATATGATATGACTACTAACTTATGCTATAACTGCTGCATGATAAATGATTACATAGGACAGTTATTTAGTCTACTAACATTTAGCTTTGATTCCTAAGGACCTGTATATAACATTCTTTCTTCATCTTTTCAGCTTTACAAGGGGAGATTAGAGAATGGGACTTATGTTGCAGTTAGATCTCTTACGTTGCTCAGAAAATATTCAATTCGAAACCTTAAAATGCGGTTGGATCTGCTTTCAAAGCTTCGCCACCCACATCTGGTTAGTCTTTTGGGACATTGCATTGATGGTAGTGGGCAAGACGAATCTACTGCCAGTAGGGTCTTCCTCGTGTATGAATATGTGCCAAATGGGAACTTCCGAGCTCATCTCTCAGGTCAGCGAAAACACAAACCTACACTTAGCTTTCTTATACAAAAGAATGTCTGTACAGAAGTGTATGGGCATATGCATAAACAGAGGTAACAGGATGGTGGAACAGGATTTCTTGGGCTCACTAATGGCTTGGCTGGGTTACAACAATGCACAAGTATGTGTGGAGGGGCCAAATTGCCGAGCATGTATTTTGAACCCTAACTTAGATATTTGGAACAATGCTTTGTCGAGTTGAGTTGAAATTTATTATGACTTTATGTGGTGGGAGTTTTCAAGCTGAGAAAACCCATTTGGGCCAGTTTAATTGCAAATTTGTAGCTGTCTCAAAGCTGTACCTTAAGAGGAAAAGCTGCAGCTATTCTAAGATGGGTTTACATGCTCTAACCCCAACCCTCCCTTCCTAGGACTCCTCCCTTCATACATAATTAAGAAGAACTGTAATGGTTCAAAAGGATGTGTATGGGTTAGGTAACATGATTTTGTTCTTTCATTAGTTTGTGCTTGTAAGGGGTAGAACCCTCTACTAAGGATTTCGGCTTGACCTGGGTTAACCAACGCGGGCGACCCCCCAGTAGCCTTTACCTCTCAGTGGGTACCTTCTCCTTTGAGTGCAAGGGCTTATATGCGGGGGGGAGACGACTCTCAGTCGATGTGGGACGAAGCTCCTGCGGCACTGAGAGGTAAAGGCTACTGGAGGTCATCCGCGTTGGTTAACCCAGGTCAAGTCGAAATCCTTAGTAGAGGGTTCTACCCCTTACAAAAAGGCGCCTTTTTGTAAGGGGTAGAAATCGTTACGGATCTCATCCCTCCACTTGAAGGATTCCGGCTGACCTGGCGGCACCGAGCCCCAGTAGCCTTTACCTCTCTTCGCCAATAGTTCTAAGGCAATCCTACATCGGAAGAGAGTCGTCTCCCCCCCTGCCATGTCATATAAGTGAACACTTCCTATGGAGGGGTACCCACTAGCGACCTGATCGGAGGTGCCTAGTGGGTACCCGATGTGGGATTGCCTTATAAAAGGGTCCTATTGGCGAAGAGAGGTAAAGGCTAGTGAACACTTCCTATGGAGGGGTACCTACTAACGACCTGATCGGAGGTGCCTAGTGGGTACCCGATGTGGGATTGCCTTAGAAAAGGGTCCTATTGGCGAAGAGAGGTAAAGGCTACTGGGGCTCGGTGCCGTCAGGTCAGCCGGAATCATTCAAGTGGAGGGATGAGATCCGTAGCGATTTCTACCTCCATAGGAAGTGTTCACTTATATGGCAGGGGAAGACGACTCACTTCCGATGTGGGATTGCCTTAGAAAAGGGTCCTATTGGCGAAGAGAGATAAAGGCTACTGGGGCTCGGTCCGATGTGGGATTGCCTTAAAAAAGGGTCCTATTGGCGAAGAGAGGTAAAGCCTACTGGGGCTCGGTGCCGCCAGGTCAGCCGGAATCCTTCAAGTGGAGGGATGAGATCCGTAGCTGTTTCTACCCCTTACAGTGGTGTAGAATTTATACCCTTGTTGGCACTTGTGGCCTGCTGAAGTAAGAAACCCATTGAGAAATTCAGTCTATAAGTGTTGATATACAGTTTACCTTTCATAGCTTCCTCTGTCATCTAGAAAGTCCTTATAATTGAATGAGTTCCAATTGAACTCCATTTTTGTCTGCAGAAAGCTGTCCAGAGAATGTTCTTAAGTGGTCAGATAGACTGGCTGTTCTGATCGGTGTTGCCAAGGCTGTACACTTTCTACATACAGGGGTTATTCCTGTTTGTTTCAGCAACCGACTGAAGACAAATAATATATTGCTTGACGAGCATCGGATTGCAAAGCTGAGTGACTATGGGATGTCCATCATTACAGAAGAAATCGAAAAACCTGAGGTATTTACTTTTTCAAATATCCAGATTACTTTGGTGACGTGATAATAATTTCTTGGTTTCAAGGGCTATATCTGACATGTGTACTATTTTTTTTTCCTGCAGGCAAAGGGAGACAGCTCCAAATCATGGTAAGAACTCTCTACTGAGAAAGACATCTTCAGTACGTACAATGCACATAAATGTTTATTTATCAAAATTTTATCATTAAAAATGATTCGAGTGCCGAGATTTTTGGAAACTGCAAATAGAAAGTTACTTTTAGAGCTTGAAGATCAATAAAAGAAAAGTTTGCAACCATGAGATACAATTTTTCCCTTATTCTCAAGAAGAGGTTAACTGTCATCTGGTTGTTCGCGATGGTGAAAATTACAGTTAAAAAAAGCGGTAACCTGTTTCAGACAAATCAATTGCCAAACTCTCAGTAGATGCTAAAGGAAGCTTGACAGATGTAGAAAGCTATCCTTGCATTTATTACTGCAGTGGGGGAGGAGAGTGTGCTTGATTAGGAATAGAAATGCCAAATAACATCTCTAACATACATACTCAACGTGAATCAGAGTGGCAGACCATGATGCTTATTTTCCCTGTTTTTCTCTTCCTTCAAACACTTTCTTGCCCAGTTTTAAGGATCCATTCTTCCAGACTGTTGGGCAAAATAGATTCCCTTTGTCATTGCATATTTGGCTATATAGTGTTTTAAAACATTGATCACTGTTGCAACTGAAGTAACTTGTAATAATCTGTGAGGTTCGATTCCATGGAATTCTTGTTGCAGGCATATTACAAAGTCAGAGGATGATGTTTATAACTTTGGATTCATATTGCTTGAATCACTTGTGGGCCCTATAGTGAGTGGCAAAGGAGAAGCATTTTTGCTAAATGAAATGGTATGCTTTCGACCTTGACTGAAATGTTATGGCAGAGGTGTAACTGAAATGCGATTCTGTTTTGCTTCCTTTTCATTTTCGGTTCTTGACATGACTAGCTCATTTTTTTCCTCAATTAACGTTTTATTTCCCAAGCCTTTATCTTCAAGCCTAATTTTCCAGATAAGTGTAGCTTTTCATGAAGGTATGAGATCGAAATGAAATTTTTGACTGTAATGCTGATAACTGATTGGAATAAATTTACTCCCCTTGTGGGCACTGCCAAGAACATATGCATTCAAATAGGTCATATTGTTGAACATGCCATGATTTTTTTTTCCTGTTATGAGAAGGAATCTTTTTTGGTAACTTTCAACATGTCACGAGTTATAGAATGAATTGCTGAAAAGAAACAGAATGTAAAATGTTATTGACGTTCACCTTGATCAGATAGCATTCTTTCATGAATTTCAGGCATCCTTCGGGAGCCAGGATGGTCGACGCCGAATTGTGGATCCAATAGTGTTAACCACATGCTCGCAAGAGTCCTTGTCAATTGTAATATCCATTACCAAGAAATGCACATCTCCTGAATCATCAAGTCGTCCTTCATTTGAGGATGTTCTTTGGAATTTGCAATATGCAGCTCAAGTCCAGGCCACAGCGGACGCTGATCAAAAATCAGATGCTACATCACAGAATTCACAGCCGTAAATTGATCACTTGGTATGACAGAACCACACCCTAGCAGCAACATTGTAGTACACTCCCCCTGCTGCCATCTTGATGAAGCAGCCAATGGAGCTACCTACCTTTATGGGGTCTCTGTAAAAGCACATAAGATTGCATATGTTTTGGCTTCTTGTCCTGATTTTGTATTCTTTGTATGAAACTGTAAATACTATTTTTGACTTGGTTGTTTGATGTTAAAGAATAGTTGATACTCTCTCTTCAGATAAAATTCTTTTCAAATAATGTTTGTCCATTTATTTTTCTTTCTTGGTACCTGTTTGGATTGTCTGGAATGAGTCGGCCTATATACTGATGAGAGACTTGGATATGGACCTTCATCCAGCTTTAAGCCCATCAAGAGCAGTGGGCTACTGTCAGCCATTTTAAAATAGTCTCTCTGTCGCATGGTATACCACTTTGTCTTTAGGCCTGTTATCGGATCTGGGTCTATTAGAATCCGATTTAAAAATTTATTATTAAATCCAATCCAATCTGTTTACGTGATGGATAGAAGAACATTAGTCCATATATGCATTCGCTTGTAACTGGACATCTGTTTTGATTACCCGATTCCACAAAAATTTTAGCAAATAATCTAATTTAAGACATCTAAATGGATATGTATTGAATTCGGATAAACGGATAAAAAATATTAGTCAATATTCGATTAAATAAATTTATATTCGTATCAAATTCAGACTAAAATTTGATCCATTTAGGGCCTCACTTGTCTTGAGCCTGACGGAAGATTCGTGGGCTTTGGTGACGGAGAGTGGAGACGCTGTTTTACGTTGATGGTGGTTGTTGCAAGATGTGACTTCAGAACTTACGAAAAATAAGCTACGGTGGAAACAAGTCAGCTCCTACTCCTACCTCAAAAATAGGGATAGCAATACTGTACGAGTGTCGAAATTTCGTATTAATTGTAAATCTTATTTTGATTTATTTATAGTCATTAATCATGAAAAATAATATAAAAAGATTAGCAAAAAATAAAAAATATAGGTGAGAAAAATAGAAATAAAAGGCAGTCAGAGGCTTCGTACATCATGTAGTCTCATTCACCACCAGCAACGGCCATCTTTGCTTCGATCGTCTTGAGGTGGACATGTCAACTTACTCGGTCTCTCTCTCTCTCTCTCTGGTGAACAGTAAAGTATTGCTTGCTTTGAGCTCAAAGTACGTTTGTGATAAACATTTTCACATCCTGCTTTCTAACAACTATTGGAAGAAAAAGATGGAAATCGTGTTCGGTGCACCTTGCGTGGTGAATTTATTGATCAAATTAACATGTCATGTAGATAGATGGGTTTAAAGATTACTCAACTTAATACATTCGTAGAGATGAAAATACGGTGACAAATTATTTATCTAAATTTTTGAAAATTTGTATAAATCTCTGTTAATGGAGTGAGGATTTTCATTTATTTTTAATACCTTTCATCCAACATGACGTAACTCTTGTCTAATTAATGAAAATTTTCAATAGTTTCTATTCGGATCAAATCTGGATTTTGTATTATAAGTTATGGGTTTTGGGTATATTTAGGTTTTAACGAGTGACATGAAATTAGGGTTATTAATAAAACTAAGTTACTCGAGCTTGGTTTAAGTTCGACTCAGATTCAACTCGTTTAGGCTTGATTTGTTTTTAAACGAACTCGAATTTGAACAAGTTTTTAGTCTCGTGCAGAAAACAAGTCTTACAAGTTTGAATTAAACTCGATAGATTCGATTTATTTATGTGCAAATACTCGGGCTCGACTTGCTTTTAGCTTGTTTAGGTCCGGTTCGCTTTTTAAACAAACCGAACTTGAATAATTTTTAAGATTCGATTAAAAAACAAACTTTTCAAACTCATTTCAAATTCGACTCGGACTCGTTCACCTAACAACCGCATGAAATGAAATTGATATATCATTGTGCAAATATTAAATTGGGGATTGTGTTGTTTTCATATAACTTAGAGGT